TGAAATAATTGCTTATTTGAGTAAACGCCTTAATCCACGCTAAAAGGTTCACCAATCGGATTTTGAATATTCGTTTAATTCATAAACAAAATCAAAATATCAACGATTGGTAATCTTCCGATTTGGATTCAATTACATTCAAATAAGGCCCAACAAAATATTTGAGCCTTAGATGAATCCAGTTGTCTACTGTCTATATATAGGGGATGCCGAATGTTAACGTATTTACAAAATTAATTGGCTATTTTAATTCTAAAGTTGATTAATAAGAAACACCTTGAAATGTAATATCTATAATATGTATTTAATATTTATAATATTGATAATATTTATGTAATATGTATGTAATATTTATGTAATATTTATAATATCTATAATATGTATCTAATATTTGTGTAATATTTATCCAATATCTACAATATTTATAATATTTATTTAATATTTATGTAATATTTATGTAATATCTATAATATTTTTGTAATATCTATAATAAATATGTAATATTTATCAAATATCTATAATATCAAATATCTATAACATTTATGTAATATCTATAATATTCATCTAATATTGATAATATTTATCTAATATCTATAATATTTATCCAATGTCTATAATATTCATCTAATATTGATACTATTTATCTAATATTGATACTATTTATCTAATATTGATACTATTTATCAAATATTTATCTAATATCTATATTTATGTCATATTCATAATATTTATGTAATATCTATAAAAATTTATGTAATATTTATAATATTTATGTAATATCTTTAATATTTATGTAATATCTATAATATTTATGTAATATTTATAATATTTATGTAATATTTATCTAATATCTATAATATTTATGTAATATTTATCTAATGTCTATGATATTTGTGTAATATTTATAATATTCATGTAATATTTGTGTGTGTAATATTTATAATATTTATCTAATATCTATATGTGTGTTATATCCATAATATTTATGTACTATTTATAATATTTATAATATTCATTAATAAAACAAGGTATATTTACTATTTCTAAAATACCCGATATCACTTCTGACTGGAGGAATTCACAAAGTTAACACACTGCTATTGACATTTTGTATTTACACATGTAACTTTGACATGATTGGCCCGTGATTTACTTACCTTACATAACAATAGAACTGTTAAACAACGTAACACGCCGCTTACATAAACCATTTTAAACCTGTATAGTTACACCTGGTCCAGGCTTGCATTAAACTAATAATATCTTATATTTTAGAATAAAACATTATTTCCCAGTCCGAAAACAAGCTATGCCACGAAAATGGTGTTTATCCAATTCTCTCCCTGTTAAAATATTCGATCCTTAAAACAATTCGGATCGTTTGGACACAAACATTCAATAGATTAATTTCTATATTCCGAAATTCAAGTAAGGTACTCAATTCGAAAATTTGGACCCTTGCGTTGATCAAGGAGGCAATCCGCAATGAAAACAGGGATCCGGCGATTTAACCACACAACACAGAAACGTTCCAGTAAAGATTAAAGACTGTTAGCATTGATATAAAATAATTCAAACCCAAAACTGCTGCATGACTAACGGAATGTGTTCAACTTGGAGACGCGCCTTGTATATTTAATCCTTAAAGTTTAAGAGTAAACAATGATGTTGAAAATTCACGTAACTCTTTTTAATAGGTGTGGCAGTATAGATTTAATTTGATGATAGATAAAGAACAGGGTGGATTTCACGAAATATTAACAAGACTTGTCAATACTAGGTGTGGTAGTCGTGCGGTTAAAACAATGAACGTATGATGAGAATGACGAGGGTTTAAATCCCAGCGTGGGCTGAGAAATGAAATAGTGTTTAACGACCTACTGTTCTGCTTCAACTGGTCTAATGAAGACGGGCATGCGCCATACAGTGTGCTATGAGGGCAATTTTGCCCGGGCAGCGCCACTATGGTGTTCTCTTATATCAAATTCAAACTGCCAAGGGATCTTTTACACGCACGACAATGTATACACGGGACCCCGGTATTTCGTCGCATCCGAACGACTAGACAGCTGTCCTTGTCAGGCCCTCCCTCCTACACCACTGACAAGACGGAATCACGTCGGAAAATCCCAATTAACTTTCTCGGCCAGCGTGGTTTGAGAGGAAGACATGAGCATGTCAAACTATTCAAGTGTGGTCCGGTCGAATGGTTTAACGTGTGCGCGTAAAGTAGTATGGTTTTGATTTCCCGCTTGTACGTGACAAGGAGTAGGTTTGATTGTCGAACTTAGTGGGTTTTCTACGGGCCCTCCGGTTTCCCGTCATTGCTAAATACCCATACGCGCAGGACAATTATTGAAATAAAATTGATCCCTGTGTTATTCCCGAAAAGACCTAGTTTGTTGCCAAATTTAACTAAAATATCTCACTATTTTTGAAAAAAAAAATCAAGTAATATGTTCATTTTGCACCGTTATGTTGTAGTATTGGGTGGTATTGGGTAGTATTGGGTAAATCGTCCCGCCGTATATAATTAACTCTAATTTGCACACGTTTAAGAGTACAGAGGTGTTAATGTTTTGAGCCAATGGTTTTTTGAACGAACAAATATTTCAGTGACGTACAAACGGGGAATCGAAACCACGCTAGTTGACTCAATGATACTAACCATTCGGCTATTATTTTTGTTGTTGTTTACCAACACGACTATAATTAACTTTCAACAGTTATCAGTGTAAAACCGGATCTGGAATTTTTATCATCTGCCCATTTACACTCTAACTAACAACGTGTTCAACACTTAATACAAGCTTGTATGAGAGAGAGAGAGAGAGAGAGAGAGAGAGAGAGATGGGATTTAACATCCACTCAACACAAACTAGGTAATTTCGGGACTGACACATTGTTCAATTTTATTTCAATAATTCGCTTGCACGTACGGGTCTTTAGCAGTGGAAGGAAACCGGAGGACCCGGAGAAAACCCACGAGGTTGGACAGGCGACCCCAAACTTGTATGACTAATATTTATACATTCTCGTCAAATAAATTACATTATAACATAATTAATACGATTGACCGACCATATATATGATAGTCACACAAATTGGACAATTTCGAGTAACAATTCTTTATTTAATATATTCTAATTTACCCAAAGCATATATATAAGGATACGTCAGAGATGGGACATCTGTGCCGAGGGCCCTAAAAATCCTTTCTTCCTCCTGAATACAGAAAATTGTGCACAGATTAATCAACGACTAAAGTGTATTTAAATTGGTTATTTAACATTTGATGCATAATGTAAGAGCTAAATCTGTAGATCTTTCGTTTGGCCTCAAATTTTACATAAATCATTATTTGGACATTAATCGGAATCACGTTAGCAATGACAATCGAGACAACCTTTTGACTGAAATTTTCAATATATTCCCGTTTCATTATTTAGTTTTTTAAATATTATAGCGAGAACTGTCAGCTCTTTATCCAAATCTTATATACAGCATCCTAAAGAAAACAATCAAAATGTCAACGGTAGTGTAATATTCGTGGGGGGTGGGGAATGGTTAGCATGTGCGCGCTGTGTCATAAGGTCTGTCATTGAGTCAACTGGCGTGGTTTCGATTTCCCGGTCGTACGTGACAAGGAGTAGGGTCGCCTGTCCAACCTCGTGGGTTTTCCCCGGATCCTTCGGTTTCCTCACACTGCTAAAGACCCCTACGCGCAAGCGAGAGAGAGAGAGAGGGAGAGAGAGAGAGAGAGGGGGGAGTTAACGTCCACTCGACACAAACTAGGTCATTTCGGGACTAACATATGGTTCAATTTTATTTCAATAATTCGCTTGCGCGTAGGGGTCTTTAGCTGTGGGAGGAAATCGAACGCGCAAGCGAATTTTTGAAATAAGATTGAACTAACCATATAGTAATGAGTAATGATAATTCAACTTTCAATCATTGTTAATCAGACATACTCTTGATCTATAATTTCTTATTGATGTATTTGATACATTAAACATGCATTATGCAAGAGTAAAATCTGCTTATTACAAGTCTTTCTTTAGGCCTGAAATGTTATCTAAATTATCAATTAGACATTAATTACCTTATCCAGACCATAATAAACTCTCGATATCAAGGCTAGCCTTCGATGTTGGCTGGATTAGATTCCTATATGCCGCTAACGGCCATTGATAATTAAATCAGAAAAAGTGGATAATCGAGACTATGCTGTTTATATTAATGATTTTAGTAATGATGACCGAGACTATGCAAAAATTTCACCCGCTTCTTTCTCGGCTCATAGTGGATCAATTTGACTGAAATTTCCAGCAAATTACCTTTACACTATCTAGTTTTTAACTATTATAGCGAGAACTGCCATCTCGTTATCTTATCTCCCATAATGTATCTTTAAAACAACAAAATTTTTATAAAGGGTTATATATTAGTTAAAAAAAGGTGAACAATTTGGAGTAAAGTCTTGACTTATTTTATAAAGGGTTATGTATTAGTTGACAAAGGCTAACAATTTGGAGTCAAATCTTAACTGATTGGATGGCTGAATGGTTAGCGTGCGCGCGCTGTATCATAAAGTCTGTCATTAAGTCGACTGGCGTAGTTTCGAATCCCCGGTTGTACGTGGCAAGGAGTAGGGTCGCCTGTCCAACCTCGTGGGTTTTCTCCGGGGCCTCCAGTTTCCTCCCACTGCTAAAGACCCCTACGCGCAAGCAAATTATGTAAATAAAATTAAACCATATGTTAGTCCCGAAATGACCTAGTTTGTGTCGAGTGGACGTTAAACCCCATTTCTCTCTCTCTCTCTCTCACTCTCTCTCTCTCTCACTCCTTTCATCACAAATTCTAATCAACTCTGTTATTCATCACCTACGATATAACCTGATAAAATACTTTCTATTGTATCACGCGTTTACTACGATTGTAGCGCTATAACAATAATTAAATATCTCACCTTTCTAATTAGAACAACTGTATAAATAGAGAAATTATTCATTTATTCTTATTTGGAAAACAAAACGACATAACGAACGGACGAAAGGTAAGATTCGAGTGCTTGAAAATCAGGATGTAATCCAGAAATATACGCCATACAGTGTGCTGGGAGAAATTTTGCCCGGACAGCGGCACTATGGCTAACTCTTCTTTGGAATTTCAACTACCAAGGGATCTTTAACGTTCACGCCAATGTATACATGGGACCTCGGTTTTTCGTCTCATCCGAATGACTAGACAGCTGCCCTTGTCCGGTCCTCCGTGCTGCATCATGGGTTTTTCGTCTAATCCGAAAGACTAAACAGTTGTCCTGCATTACTGACAAGGAGAAACCACATCGGAAATTCCCGATGAACTTTCTCGGTCAATGTAGGGATCGAACACACGACCTCCGGGCTAGCGGGATAGCGGGCCAGCGTCTTACCCACTTAACCAATAATCCCGTAGAGGGGTTTATATGTGAAATCATGTAATGAAACGAAATGGGTTCTGCTCCTATCGGACTAATTAAGACGAGCATACATCCAAACTAATCAGCAGTAAATATTCGCTTGGCCGCTACTATCACTGAGAGAGGTGACATAGGAGCGATCCAACCTCGTGGCTTTTCTCCGGGTCCTCCGGTTTCCACCCACTGTTAAAGACGCCTACGCGCAAGCGAATTATTGAAATAAAATTAAACCGTATATTAGTCCAGAAATGACCTAGTATGTGTCGAGTGGACGTTAAACCACAGTTAATTAGCTTTCAATATTAGTAGTTTTTTCTTCTGCAAATTAAATTCTAAAACAGTTTTTTAAATTATTAAGAAAACTAATAGATGTATTGGGAATATATCTGGATAAAAAAATATTTCCTATTTGGTGTAAATGGGTACATAAAATAGTAATATGCTGCTGGGGAGAAGGCGCCGATGAAATATCGAGGCGGTGACGGAGGCGGTGACGTCACATAGAGACCTATAATGCATCTCGGCTTGAATATTCTAATGTCTTGTCTATACGAATATCCACCATGGTCCGGATATCTTGGATTACATGATCGGAATATTTTCGCCTTCTTCCCCCCTTTCGCTTTTCTGGGGTGGTGTAGCTGGGTTTCTTTCTTCGTCAGGACTGTTGGTATCAGATTCCACTTTCTTGAATATGTTGGGTAGATGCTCGAGCTAGTTCTAAACTTCTGACTTGGCTGTTTGCCACTCGAAGCACCTCCCCCCTCCATTTGTACAAGTGCAATTTTTTGTGTAATTCCTTGCATGTTCGTGGATGAATAAAGAGAGAGAGATAAATGGGGTTTAACGTCCACTCGACACAGACTAGGTCATTTCGGGACTAACATATGGTTTAATTTTATTTCAATAATTCACTTGCGCGTAGGGGTCTTTAACAGTGGGTGGAAACCGGAGGACCCGGAGAAAAGCCACGATGTTGGATCGCTCCTATGTCACCTCTCTCAGTGATAGTTGATTACAATTTGTGGGGAAAGGAGTAAAAGGGCCCTCTGTCCAGGCCCCGTGTTCACTTCGTTAAGATTTTACTCCAAATTGTTCGCCTTTGTCAACTATAATATAACCCTTTATAAAACTTTTGTTGTTTTAATGTATCAAATACATCAATATTGCTCATTACTATATGGTTATTTCAATTTTATTTCAATAATTCGCTTGCGCGTAGGTGTCTTTAGCAGTGGGAGGAAACCGGAGGATCCGGAGAAAACCCACGAGGTTAGACAGGCGACCATACTCCTTGTCACGTACAATCGGGGATTCGAAACCACGTCAGTTGGCTCAATGTCAGACCTTATGATACAGCGCGCACGTGCGAACGTTATCACTCCCCGCCTATGTGTAAATGATAAAATATTAATCTGTCTCATGTATAAACCACACCAATTTTACAGATACAAATCCATGTTATTCCACAGACATTGACAGACATTGAAGAGACCAAGTGAAAGGGGCGCAGTTGGTTTAGAGTTTGTCATTTACGCCCCATTTCCAATGAAAAGAATCATGTTGTTGTTCTGATGGTCAACCAGTATCAGACATATATCGTGTCTGAGAATTGTTACAAATCGCCTCGGGAATGCTCCACACAACTCAACATTATCGGCTTTTTGTTCAATCTATAAAAGCCTACATGTCTAAAAAATGTTTTGTTTAGTCAAGTGAAACAGGAAAATCCATGAACTATGAACATATCTGAATAGGCTAAATGAAACAACAGAATAAATTCACCATGATGTTGACACCTTGTTGACATGAGACTATATAAAATAAGATATTTTTATGATAGGATCCATCCCAAAGGTTCTATATATGCCATATAGATAATCAATATCTACATTCAAGTTAAACCAACTGTATCTATTCATTTTAAGTCGTACGTCGAGCTGAATAAATTATATGATGTATTGTCATTAAAACATCTATTGTTGGTTAACAGTGTGTACCTAATATTTTCTACACTAAGTCTATTGCATCTAGATATTTAAAGCGCAACAACAATATATTCATTTAAGAGAAACTATGTAATTTCCGGATTAACATATCGTAAAATTCATATTCATTTGACGACCGACCTCCTATTTACAAAACTATGGTTTATCCCAACTACAATGTAAACATAATTTAGAGACTATCTGAACTACAGGGTATGTCATGTTTTAAGAGACTACAGGGTACATCATGGTTTAGAGACTACAGGGTAGATTATGTATTAGAGACTCTATCTGAACTACGCGGTACATCAAACTACGGCGAGTTTTTGGCGTGAAGTGCACGTAACTTTGGGTCAAAAGTCCCTCGTATGACACCTGACGCTATCTTCCACTACCACTGGTCAGGTAGTGTAGGACATAAAAAGTATAAAAAAACGAAATATAGAACCGTATTTTAATCATATTGATGCAACACAGGGGGCAAGAAACGTCTCCATAATTTATTTTGACCCTTATGACCGCCTCCGTTAATTTCTCGGTAAAAAAATGTAATTTAGTTTGTCGATGGGGAATAAAACAATATTTGTAAGAAATATATACTGTTTTTTTTAGATTGAGAATGAAAGTTGTGTTGGTTGTTTTATTGGTGTTATCGTTAGCGGTATCAGATGTGGAATGTGGCTTTCGTCGTTTTGTCAGAAGACTTCCAAATACTAATTTCGATGGTAAACGTGAAGTTGAGGTAATAAGTAACCACGAAGAATATGAACGTCAGCTAATCCCTACCGCTTGACCCTTAAATATTTGGTAAGTTGGAGTGAGAAGGTAGGAGGGGGTGGGGGCGGATGGTTAACGCCTGCGCGGTGGACCAGACAGTCTGTTATTGAGTCAAATAGTAAGGAGTAAGGTCGCCTGTCAAACCTCGTGGGTTTTCACCGGGTAACCTCGTGGGTTTTCTCCGGGTCCTCCTGTATCCTCCCACGCGCAGGCGAATAAGATTGAAATAAAATTGAACCATACATTAGTACCGAAATGACCAAGTTTGTGTTGATTGAACGTTAAACCCCATTTCTCTCTCACGAGTGAGAGATTGGATTCGAGATAATCCTCTATTTAGAATTGATTTAAAAAAGAAATTCACCCGCTTAAAGGAACCAAATAAAAGTCCGCGAACGTATGAAATTTAAGCGCCAAAATATAGAGGAGTGATGCATTTACCTTGTCTCAAATTTTCAGCTCAAAATATTGAGTCGTTTGGATGTGAACGTCAAAACCGACTATTCGGACACGTAACCCTTTTAAGATTTCGGGTCAGTTCTTTTGCTGGGTGATCTGATAATCTATTGCCATTCTGTGCTTGATAACGAATGGTTAATTTCGCCTACACGTTATTTGTATAAAATAAAGACTGGTTTTATCCAGACACCGTATAGTACATCTTGGAACACCGGTCTCCATTTCCAGATGAAGACTGACGGGTTCTTAAAAGTTGTTTGAAAACGTAACACAGATATTGAGTTAGTTGCTCGGTCCTAAGGTAGAGGATTTTAAAGGCCTTGAAGATAAAAGGTTTTATTCTCCAAAATACAATCGAGATCGGACCTTTAAGGCCAGATGATAAATAAAATACTCGATAATAAACAAAATAAATATAATCTGGGTATACATGAAGTCATAATTGAACCACACACAATGACCAATCTTCTAGATATTGGTGATTTAAAGGTTCTAACAACAGTTCACATTTTGTGATATGTGAAATATCCCAGATAAGCGGAATATATTGGCCAAAATATCCTAAGAAATCCGAAATCTGTTCTTTTGTCTTTTTTTGTTTTTGTTTTTTGATTGCTGACTGGCTAGCAAGTAAACAATATATTAAAGTTGACGACACGTGTTGTTCTGTCTGCCATGAGATGTAGGAACTGGTTTTTTTTATCAGTACCAATGTCTAGGCGAAATGCGTGGTTTTAACGTCCCCCGAACCCCCAGGGATTATTTTTTGGAATAAGTTATTATTTTATAAAAGAACGTTTATAAAATGCATTCTTTTTTATTCATTCTTTTACCGTGAGTACATATCATTTCAGATTGATGGTGTGTGGCCGATTCCATTCAAAGTGAATATTAAACATACATTATGCAAGAGCTAAATCTGCCTATTACAGGTCTTTCTTTAGGCCTGAAATGTTTTCTAAATTATTAATTAGACATTAATTAACCTATCCATGCCATAATAAACTCTCAATTGTATCGGGTTTTTCTGATATTAAATAGATTAGAACAGTTCAGCCATATTTTGATTTAAGCTAAAAATGGAGGAGCAAGACGTAGCTTCGAACAACCAGTACGGTGGTTGAAATTATTGCACACGTCTTGTCAACACCTTCAAAGGCTAATAACTTCGCTCGCAATAGAGTAATTTGAATGAAATTTTCAAATTATTCATTTTACATTATCTATATTCGAACTATTATAACAAGAATTGCTAGCTCTTTATCCAAATCTTACATATTGTATCTTTAATAAAATATTAAAAAAGGGATTTCGTTTTTCGTTTTTATTTCTTAGACTGGGGAATCAATATCCCGAGTAAAAATCTATCAGGTAACTAAGAACCCTTATAAGATGCTAAAGTGTACTTCAAGGAGAGTTTTGAGGGAGTATGTCTATTTTTCCCGTACAATCAAATCAATACAAAGTACAGCAACATGACAGCCCTTCGTTTAATCTTGGGTCTTCCCTAAAACTGTGGACAGTTGGCGAAAGTATTGTTCGTCTTCACAACAGTATTGTTTACATTGTTTGCCGTTTTGATAGCCTCGTTTGTCACGCAATTAGTTTTTCTGCAATATTCTGCTATGCACTGATTAATTGGGCATAATAAAATCATGAATCATTACGTAACGTTATGTAAACATATCTAGAGCTCTGTTTAAACCAAATGATAATGTTACGCAGTTAGGTATTGGTTGTTAATCGGACTATTGACCAGTCATAATTTGGACCCAAAATTTGCTTTCATTACAGCAGTGTTTGAGTGGGATTAGGACTAATCAAATGAAACACTGCGAGGAGTATGGTGCTAATATCAAATCGGTCCTTGAGATCTTACTACCAGAACACTCTTGTCGTTCCACACTCAAAACTGAAACATTTTGGTGACAGAAGTTTTAGTGTAGTTGCTCCTAAATTGTGGGGTGATTTGCCACTGAAAATCAGAAATAGTGAAACTTTGACTACTTTCAAATCACAGCTGAAGACTCACTTAGTTCGAGAATGCTACGAGAATTAGACTTTCTGTTCACTGTGTATATAAATAGTGTCTCATTGCGCTTTGAGCAGGCTTTTGGAGGGATTTGGCGCTCTACAAATGTACATTATTAATAGACGTTCCTGTCCCACTCGTACAGTTTTGGTGCGAATAGGAGTTCCAGTTCCAATCCCATTCCACAAGCATAACGAGTCCCACAATGTAACAACTGTCTAGCCAACGGGTGCGAATAGAAGTTCCATTCCCATTCCAAAAACACAACTATTCTCGCTATGTAACAGCTGTCTAGCTAACAGATCGGGTAAAAGAGTATAGTTTCATACAAAAGAAGCAAAGATAATGTTAGGCCCACTCAATATACTACCCTGCCGCTAATCCGTAAACCAATTTCAGGCATGTTTTGTAACATCTGCCGGGCTGCATGTCAAATCCAATGCATATTTCATTGGACACTGGCCACCAGTACGAAATGCTATATATCTGATGGACAGGGTATCGTCACGTGTCCAATGTTGTCCATATTACCTGGTCTAATATATACACTAGAACTTGTCCATTTTATCCAAAATGGTGTATATTCGTTAGGAATTAACATTAGTTTTTTATCATGTGCAAAAACTTCCTTATAGCTAGGAGAATGAATTCTGATTGCGGTAATATTGTTGCCCCATCCCCAAAGCACCAACTCAAACACTAAATTATAAATATTGACCGATTCAAATAAACCAACTACACCATCTTTACACCCTTTTATCCACACTAGTTTCGATTCTTGTTGTTCGATATTTCTGAATTCCCTGTAAGGAGAACCAGCCCCTAGATATATTATTTCACAATTTGTCAAAACCATACAACAAACTATAAACGTAATCCATGAATTGTAAATCAACACCATTTTGTTACAATCTCCAGATCGAATAGGAATTAGATTTCAGTTCACAACGGTATGTCAGACAAATGTTCAATATGCACTAATATAAAAAAAAAAGTTTATTTCCATTCACACCATTGCTAAAATAATATAAAATATTAGATTTTAGTACACTCCGGTACGTATGCCTGATAAACGTTCAATATACACTATTTTTATAAAAGGGTTACTCCCACTCACACCATTGCTAAAATAATATAAAATATTAGATTCCAGTACACAGCCGCATGTCAGACAAAAAATCATTGTACACTTTGATTATAAAGACTCACTTTACTCCATCAATCGTTATTGCTAATTTAATATAAAATATTGATTTTATTGAGTTCTAATATAAAATATTGATAAGTTCCGTTCTGATTTTTTACCTACACAATATCAATTTGTATCCATTATATTAAAGATACATCGTGTAAGATATGGATAAAGGAATAGCCAATAACATAAATAAATAGTCCATGTTCCAATCCTCTTCTGTCTGTTATTAAGAACGTCGTATGTCGTTGTTTAACTATATGTCGTATGTCGTTGTTTAACTATAAGTAGTATATCTTTGTTTAACTCTAAGTCGTATATCTTTGTTTTCCAACGTATTATCGTTGTTTAACTATAAGTCGTATATCGTTGTTTAACTATTTGTCGTATGTCGTTGTGTAACTATAAGTCGCCTGTCGTTGTTTAACTATAAGTAATATTATCGTTGTTTAACTATAAGTCGTATGTCGTAGTTTAACTTTAAGTCGTATATCGTTGTTTAACTGCAAGTCGTGTGTCGTTGTTTAACTAAAGTCTTATGTCGTCGTTTAACTATAAGTCGTATGTCGTTGTTTAACTATAAGTCGTATTATCGTTGTTTAATTAAGATGTACTAAATCTGTAACATTGAGACTATTTTGTCAAATCTTCAAAACTCATTACAAAGTAATTTGACTAAAATTGGCAATATATTAATTTTTCTTTATCTGTTTTTGAACTATTATAGGAAGAAAGAACAGCTTTTTAGTCAAATCTTACATAAAGCATATTTAAACTAAGGCGAAAGACTGGAATTTTTTTGTAGAAAAATCTATTTGAGGGTATAATGAACAATGACGATTTCACTTAACGTTCGCTTCCACCCAAGAGGATATCGCAGGCGGGTGTTTCCTAGGAAACCTACGAGAAGAGTCAGTCGTTAAAGCCGGTTTCAATTAATTACATTTTTAAGTAAGATATTCGTATCATTGTCTACATCATGCCATACGGACTAAGATTTGCCCCATGACCGTTTCAGGGTACTGCTACAAAACAGATAATAAGGTTATTTTCTATGTCATTGTAACTGCACAGAAGGCATCATATACTTATACTCGGAGGAATTTGTTTTATATACTGGAGTTAGGAATCTGCCGTGAACACCTAGTAAAAACCAAACCCCAGCATTGAATTCTAAACACTATCTTGAGAAGGAGAATGTCACGGCTGTTCTGTGTTGGCCACGATTTATTGTTATAATGGTACTAAAGGTTTGTGTTATCGACTCGCGAGATCAAATATGGCTTTTCCCTTTCCGGCCCATTCTCTGACCGTGCTGGTTTATTAAATATACACCTTTAACAAGGTTTGCCTTTGATTGCTCGTCCAAAGTGGGAGGAACTCGAAATACGCGAAAACTTTTCGGGTTACAGACGCCGGTGTCGATCGTCTTCGAGAGGCGAAGGAGCGGGGCTTACAGTACCCCCTCCCACCCCCAACCCAAGACAATTTGGGACATTTCCTGGCGCGAATCGTTAACGTGGGAAACTATCAATAATTAAGACGATTGTATTAATATTTTTTATTCCTATCGTTACACCTGACTGGTTTGCACGAATAAATTGAATAGCCATAACTTTTATACTCCCCAACGCCGCCACATGTGGTAAAAATAAAATAGATATTTGAGTAACTTCTTTGTTGAATAAGTATGCCAGAATCAATATATAATATAATATAAAAAAGACGGTGTGTGAAATTGTATACATACATGGTTGGTGTAATTCAAGATAACTGTACAAATACCAGATACTTTTATACATAAAATGGTCCCGTGATGCATAGGGGTACGGGCTCGATGAATGTTAGAGGGAGGTGGTCAGAACCTGAAATGAAATGCCCGAAAATATTTCGGGTTACGAACGGCGTTGCCGATTTTCTGCGAGAGACGAAGGAAGAAATTTAGAAAATTTGACTGTCGCAAACACGTTTTCCTGCTATTCCTGTCAAAGTGGTCTAATAGACTAACTTATGTGGCTGTCGCGAATTCCAATCAACCAATAAATCGTTTATAGTCCACGGAGATGGAACCGTCGAGAGAAATTTTGTAAACTGTACTGTCGCAAATGCGTTTTCCTGCTATTCCAGCCCGTGAATAAAGCAACTTCAATGTGGTACAATATAGCCTACCTTATTTGTCTTACCTGGATCCCAAATCCCAAACAAGCCATCAATCATCGCGGGGTATGGTGGCCTCGAGTTCCCCGAGAAAATTTTGAAAATGTAACTTCCGCAAATACGTTTTCCTGTATTGTAGCCCGTGAATTAAGCAACTTCAAAGTTTCCAATCGGTTTGCAATTCTATGCCGACCTGAATTCCAACCACCCAATCAGACTGTTACAGCTGCATTCACACATAATAATCGATACCCAAAGTGACTCCAGACCAAATGTTTTAATCCATTGTTAATTCAGTACAAAAGTCAGATTGCCCGAAAGTACCCCTCCCCCTGCCCCCTTGGCGCGTATGCCTATGGCGGCATTAGTTTCTCGGGGTTTGTCCCATTATCAGTGGTGCGGGGCCTATTTTAAGGTTTTATGGAGTTAAATCTATTTGTTAAGGCCAGCTCAATTTTCGTCAAGGTCGCTGAGATGTAAATAAGGTAAGGGCACGTGATTGTTAGGTTTAAGAATTTGGGGGAGAGGTTAAGTCTCCACATAAGCACTGACCTAGGATGATGAAAAATTAGTTCGTGATATTTCCTAGTTTTATTAAAAATACATACAATACATTAGATTTATATACAAAGGCGATTTCACTGTTTTTTGGTATTGGTGGCGCTGATGGTCTTCCTTGGATGGTGCTTCTGATATTCTGGTATTATTGTTTCTGAAGAAAAAAGAAAATAAATTTGAGGCTCTCGGGAGAGAGCCACATTAGTGTGTTTCCTACTACGGATTGGATTTTCTAAAAAAATCGTGTTTGTTCCTCATCACCGGGTTAGGGCTAGGGATTCTTATATCTAGTTGATTTTATTTACTAACGGTTAGGGATAGGATTTGATATATGGTTTGTTTTGGGTTAGGGTGGAGA